GAGCTAGATATCAGAAAGTAGATACAGTGTGTGGAGCTTGTGGATATGAGGAGAAGACGGCTGAGCACTTGGTAATTTACTCTAAGGGGCTTTACCCTTCAGTAGCTAATGAGGCGACTAATTTAACAAACGCACTGGGACTTAGGGAGAGTGAAGGAAACTTGACATGGGGAAGATGGAGATAACCAAGAAGATATTATCTAACTGGCGGCATAGGGCAAGGAAAGGATTAATATTTTATCATTCCCTTCCGGGCGACCCGCTGGACAGAAAGTCTGTGCACCCGGTTGCATAGAGGCGCCTCCGTCGTAGCTTTCAAAAACGCGATGCAACATTTTTTTTTTCACTTTTAGAGCGCAGTTTTTAGGCGCCCGTTTTCGGGTTGAGCGGCGTCGGCGTAACCGCGCGCGTTCCATTATGGAACCTCCCTGTTTCTCCGGTAAATTTAACGGGAAAACTTAACCCGCTCAATTTAGCGGCAAAAATGTTTCCGCTAAATGGGTTAAGTTTTCCCGCTAAATTAGGCACGAGAATATTCGCCAAATTTTCCGCTATATTTAGCGGGAATATTTCCCTGTAAATTTAGCGGGGAAATTTCTGCTAGAGTGGGAAATTTAGCGAAAATTTTCCGCTAGATGGGAGGGGAACAAGAGAGGAGGAGAAAAGGCTACGGAGGGGAAGGAGGGGAATATTTCCTTCCGTACCCTACCCTCCTCCTCCTCAAGAGCTGCTCTCTAATTGGGCATTACAAAGCATTGTAAAGGTCTTTGTTTTTTTTAGAAACACAGCTTGTAATTTTTTGTTGAGATCTATGACCTATTAAAAACTCGCTTTTTTTTATACGCAACGGCAGTTGCAGAAGACACCAGAGAAAAATTAACACCGTTTACCCCTCAACTCGCAGCCAGAAAAGGCGGCCACGTGATGTAAAGCCGATTGTATGCCGCCAATGTTTTTTAATATAACCACGCGTTGGGGTTCGCAGAGAGCAGGGCGGGGGCTTAGCTTCGCGTCTTGTTAAGGTTCGGCTGTTCCCGTCATCCCAGCGACTGGGCACCTGCCATTACCCGAATGCTTGTGAAGGCATTGATTTTCACGAGCCAAACTTCAATGCCTGCGCAGTCTTCGTGTCCACTGTATGAGCAGCATTAGATGTCGTCACAGCGGCGATCGTAAAGCTTGATGACGCACTTCTGGGAATCGCATTGTTGGCATTGTCCTCACAGCTGCAACATCAAGTTTTGCAAAGGAGAGACTGAAGAAAAGGTACGCTCTTATCCTTGGAATTCCACCGCGCCGAGGACGCTCCTTGGACAGTGGCGTTGCTTTCGAGCATTCTTGTGTCCCACTATAGATGCTTTACAGCAGGTGTGCATGGGTGCCGCCATAACCGACCTTCAGTTTTTGTTTCCTCTTATTTTTATCACTTCCCTCCAGTTCTACCACAGCAGGGCAGGTTAGTGCCATTTCAGATTCAACTGTGTCCTCCTCCACAGCATTTGCCTTTGTGGAGGCTCGCCAAAGCCCTCTTCAGTGGCTTGGTATCTCGGTAAGACAGGAGAAGGTCGGCAATGGCGGCTGTAATTTGACGCGTGTTTAAAGCGTCTATAGTGCCAGCAAGTTTGTGTAAAGTGAGAAAAGTTTCTATACAATATCGTTGCAGAGCCCCTTTAAAAATACATATCTAGATGTATAACTTTGTTAAATGAATGTTTCAAACAAAAAGAAGAAGAGAAAAAAAAACACTGACTAGGTGGAGCAAGCGCCGCTCGATTCAAAGGGTTCAGCCTCATCCATCCATCCATACATCCGTGTTTTATTCCTTATAAAACATTTCTTGACCCATCGCGGCAGCGACGGCGTAGCTAAACTGCCTGGAGACCAGGGGTTTAGCAAGTACCTTAAAATTCCTAAAAATTGGTTGAGAAACAAGGAAAGTCTTTACGGGAACAAACTGCCAGCCATGGCGGACGTCAAGGAAAAAAACGGTAAAGAAATGAAACAAAAAAATGAAAGACGATTACAACTTCCTGTAACTCCAATCTAGAGCGCAGCTCTCGAGGAGGAGGAGGGGAGAGTACTGCGGGGAAGGCATGCCCCTCCTCCTTCTTTCAGGCGCGAAACGCGCGTCGTCCGAAACGTCACGTGACTTCCCCGAAACGTCACTGTGCTGGAACGCCACCGTGCCGAAACGTCACCGTGCCGAAACGTCACCGTGCCGAAACGTCACCGTGCCGAAACGTCACCGTGCCGAAACATCACCGTGCCGAGACATCATTGTGCTGAAACGTCACATTCGTGACTTCCACCAAAACGTCGCGTGACGTTTCGACGCGGTGCATTATGGGACATTTCCCATAATGCATCGCGCGGCTACGCGGACAGCGACGCCGCTCAAGACGAAAACGGGCGCCTAAGAGCCGCGCTCAAAAAGAATGAAGAACGTTTACAATAGACCGATCCCACCAAGCGTTCCACGCATGCGTGACGCCGCCATAACTGTAGTTCGTAGGAGGCAGACGCCAGTTCACGCGACAGCTCATGCTGCCTCGTAGTCTGCTCGCGCAAACCTCCAGCTGGGTTGTCGCGCGTGCAGAAAGACTACAGCTCCCACGATGCATATCGGCAGCGGTGGCATACTCAAACTAGCTGGTGAGATCGGTCTATTCTCTGTAATGCCGAATTAGAACGCAGCTCTTGAGGAGGAAGAGGGGAGGGGAGGATATGCCCTTGAAGTCCAGAGAATAACGTCACTCGTGATCCTCGTGACGTAGCGTGGTTACGCTGACGGTGACGGCGACGCCACTCAACCTGGAAATGGAGCTGAGCTCTAAAAAATGAAAGACGTTTACAATTTTCTGTAACTCCGAATTAGAGCGCAGCTCTTGAGGAAGAGGAGGAGGGGAGGGTATGCCCTGTTCCTTTCCCGCTAAACTTAGCGGAAAAACTTTACCCTCGACACGTCACGTGTGACGTCACGAGGGTAAATTTAGCGAAAAAATTTCCCCCTAAATTTAGCGGGAATATTAGCAAAGTTAGATGCGTGTGACGTCACGTGACGTCATAGTCACGTGTTTTCTATAACGTCACGCGTGACGTCACTTTTGACGTCACGAGGGTAACGTCGTGACGTTACCCTCGTGACCTCGTGAGAGTAACCCTCGTTACCCTAGTTAGGGTAACCTTTGTGACCCTTGTGAGGGTAAACCTCTTAAATCTCATAAGGGTAACCCTCGTAAACCTCATGAGGCTAACCCTCGTAACCCTCACAAGGATAACCCTCATGACGTCACACCTGACGTCACGTGTGACGTCATTATGGGAAACGTCGCAAAATGGTACGCGCGGTTACGCCGACGGTGACGGCGCTCAAGCCGGAAACGGACGCCTAAGAGCTGCGCTCTAAAAAGATAGTGCAGAAACAACGGTCTGGTTACCGAGTGTGTTAACGCCAGACTCGTGCTTATATCAAATACTCAAGATACGTGTATTCAAAATGTTTTTGGTAGTCAATTGATATCTCGCAAATACATTTGATTGAAACTATTAGCTAATTTATCTTAATAACATTTATCAGTTTCTGGAGAAATGTTTCAATGTTTCAAAAAGATTTTCGCGAGACTTTTTTTTACTGAAATAAAAATCAGCATCCCCCCGCGCAAACTCGAGGGCTTGCAAACTTGAAGCGGAAGTCACCAAACACGAAACAGAAAACAAGCCAGGAAAAAAGATGGAAGCTCAAAACGTCAACAAGATAACAAAAAGAATTTAAGAAGCCACTAGAAGACACAAAGTGTTTTTTTTTTTATTTTATGTTTGACCCCGCTTCGGCAAGAATGTCAGTTTCTTTTGCCAGTTTGGCATTTTCGGGAACACCGGGCAGGAAGGGGTATAGCCCCCCCTCCCCCCCCCCCCCCTTCACGAAGACAGTGTAACAACAAGACAGGAGAGAGTAAGGGGCCTAAAAATGCAAACAGAAGAGTTCTTCCTATGTTTTAAATATCTCTGAGCGCGGTAAAAAGAAAAAAGGAAAAAAGAAATCGACAACCACGAGAACAATAGCAGGGCCCCTTCGTGTCCCCTTGTGCCTTTCTTTCTCAGAGTCAGTCATCTCCGAATGCAGCGTTCGGGCAATCTATTTGCGTATTTAGTAAACGTGAACTCCGGGTATATATCTAAAACGAGATCATGCATATGCGCCCCACAGATGTGCTTAGCTAAGTGGAGTCTTAGTAGCTCTAGCCTAGCGCCGCTGAATGTGTAAATATCTAAATAAGATTTTATTTCTCAGCTTATCTCCTTGATATGTTTTGGCTGCGAATATGGTAGCATGTTTGCGCCCGGGCAGCAGGTAGCCAAGTCAACGGCGCTACTTTCCCATGATTCGGTGATTTTAAGACCAGCCGATCTCTCTAGCTGGCTCTTCTCCAAAGAACAGGCGCCCCAAAATGCGCCTTTAGGCTGAGCTCCATGCAGCGAAATATGCGACGAATATGTGACGAACGTCGCCCAGCGGCACGTTCGCTTTGCGCGCAACGTAGCAGTCACTGTGCTGATTCCACACGCAGAGAAAAAGTAGCCGAGCGAAATTCGTCGATTTTTCGCAGCATATTCGTCCCATGGAGTTTAGCCTTGTGGCGCATCGGAAGGCAAGGAGTAGGGTGCCTCAATGTCCTTCTGTTTAGGGTGATGCCACCCTTTGTAGTACCCGATGCTGACAGCACGCGCTCACGGGTAAAATACAAAGAAATCGACGAAAACAAAATGTCGCCGTAGCACAGTCAGCGCCACGAGCGCGTGCAGGGACACGTTCTTTCACGCGCTTCTGAACAAAAAATAAAAATAAAAGTGTGAGACAAAATGGCCAGATGTCTCCACCCTAAGCCAAGCGCACATGAAGGCACCCTAGCAAGGAGTGGTGCGCGAATCCAATGAACAACGCACCTGCGAGCGCGCGATGGCGAGGCAGCCAAGCGTGGTGGTTGAGGGCGGGGGAAAAGAAAAGCACGTGAGAGCATTTGGTGGGTAAACAAACACACGAGGTGCGCAAAGAACAGAAGTCTTCGCATTCGTATTCGACGCCTGGCACTCCCAAGCAATTTACATGCATGGTTTTCTCTGCCCATCGCTGGGCGTTGCGCGCTGGAATTGATCTTCTCCAAAGTCATGGTGGCGGCCCATAAAAAGGTACTGCTAATATAGAAGTTGTGCTGAAAAGACAAATTTGTGAGTTGTCGTGCTGACTGCACCATTCCATACCAGGCTGGCTGAGTGAAAACCTAGCCGAGTCTCATCAACTGCTTACCTCCTTCCGCGGATATGAATTCTTGATGACACAGAGAGACATAAATTAGAGATTTCCGTTTCGCATAATGAGCACGACAAAAGCGAAACTTTGTGTCGCTGAAATGCCCAGTTTAGAATATGTATTTCTTGTTTCGCCACAAGCGGAATGTTCCATTGATATTACGCACATTTATATCCTCCAACATTTCATATATAGCGCACTTGCATCGGCACACAAGAAAGGGGGCACCGCCATCGCCCCATTTTGGCAGTCAAAAAATGTAAATAACTACGAAAAGCACGCGTTCAGATAGCTTAGCGTGCATTCGGCCGGCTAGATCTCGTATCACGAAGAAAGTCCCTCTCGAAATAGCGCTGCATATCGTCGGCCAGCACCGGATGCCGTGTCAACCACACCGTCCCGCCATTGAGCTGGACCTCGCCGAAGGCTCTGCAGGGCCCCAGGTCATCCAGATGCACCAGGGTTAGGTTGGCCCTTCGAGCCAGCTTGCCCGTGATAAACACTTCTTCCCGGTCGTCGGTCGGGACCTCTTCCACTTCCCGCTGCATTCTCACGAAGGTCGCCGTCTTGATGAAGTAGGCGCAGTCTTCGAGATGCGAAAGTCCCCGGCTCCCGTCCGGGCCCCTCTCGAGTGTGACGCGTCCGAACAGGGCTCCTGTGGACTCGGAGAACCAGTCGAGCTTGTCCAGGACGGCCCCGACGTTGACGTACGTGTCGTCGTGCACTTTGAGCACGAGCTGCGAGTCATAAGCGTGAGAGAGGACCCACTCCAGGAGGAGGACGCTGATGGAAGCCCGGTTGTCATAGGTGCCCCACGTCTTTTCCACCACCATGTCGCCGTAATTGCGTGATTCTAGCTGCAGCAAGAAGAGGGGGACCAGGGACCGAATCAACACCAAATACACTTCGTTTCACCTTAAGTCCGGACGCAGTCAAGGCTTATCGGACCAATTCGACAGCGTTAAATGCGCACCATCACGGTGTCCGTCGTGTTTCTGTACATGCTCCCTTCGGTGAACCAATCACAAACAGGGAAGGCCTAGTGACGCGCTTTTGACGCTGCTCGATTGGTCCCATTCAGTGTTGGACAAAATACTCGATAAAAGTATTTAAGCTAAGTTACCAAATACCCGCGTCATAAAGTATTGAAAATACTACTCAAGTTACTTTTACTGCAAAGTATCTTGAGTAGAGTACAAATACTTAGAAATGTATTTCAGTTACTTTTGAAGATACTTCCGCATTGCGTAATTTGTATCGACTTCATTGACAACGACAATTCTGCAGCTACGCAAATCTGGATTACCAGAATGGTTTATTAGCACGTAACAACACACTACGGGAAAAAAAAAGTATCGTAGGGCTATTTCATGCATCCGACTATAAAGAGCAAAATATTGTCTCGAATGATAAATGATGAGGTGGCGAATAACTGAAGAAACTAAACGTTTAGTGGGGCGAACTTGTTTCCAAAACAAAAGAGAGAAAGGCTAGCGTCGCAGGCGTCGATGTCGGCGAAACAGCAGGATCGACCGCTGGGCGAGACTGACTCCGGACCGCCACAAGGAGCACCTTTTGTCCCCGCGTGTGTTTCTGGAACATTCGGCGCAGAAAGTTCGGCGCGTAGAACATTCGTAACTCGATCAGAGGATAAAATTCTCGAACTTACCAGAACGTCAAGTTGAAGAAATAAATAAAAGGGAAGTCCGCTTTCTGGTATCGAACCGGGATCCTCCGCGCGAGAGCCAAGCGCGGTAATCATTCGGCCACGCGCTCGCTGGGCAACGCACGTGGCAATATCACTGATAGATGTTACAAAACATTTCTGGGACAACAAGAAAGAGGTCGCTTTTGCTGTTGGGGAGGAGATCAGACCGTGGCGCCCCAAGCGGTTAACTAGATGGACGGGGACAACAAATACAATGGCTCAGCGCTCGACTGACTTAATCGAACCGGGCATCAGCGTTCGGCTGGAGTTCGTGTTCTCTGGTGGGGGAAAGGAGGGGCTCCTTCGTTATTACTCTGGCCTGCATGAACAATGCAGCATGCACCCTGCCCAGCCCGGCACAAAAGCCCAAGTGGGTCAAGTTCGCGTCCTCTGACGATACTTTCGGGGCAGATCCGGCACTTAACGATCCTTCACAAAGTGTTGGTATTTTTTCGTTACACTTTCACCCTCGCTTTATTAAAAAAGATGACACGAACATGCCCACAAGGCCTGTGGGCCTGTGCACAGGCCTTGTGTTGGGTGAACACCGAGGTGTGGTTCTGACAAATGGGTCAGAGCGCTTCGCCAATAGTGACATCGCTGAATATCATATCCTGCGCGCACCTTAGACGCATCGTTTAACTACAATCCATATTCCCTATATGGGGAGTTCACTATAAACGAACTTGGGACACGGATATGAGTGAATGGATAACAAAGAGAACCCACAAAATAGCCACGGCAGTGGTCGCACCTTCTTCAAGTAGGTCGTTTCCCGGTCTGCTTGCGCCTCAGGGTGGCATCTTTACTTCCGTAAACCACACCTTTGGTTTGAGGACTTTTGGGGGGAAACTTTATAGAAACAAAAGGCGCCTTTGGGAAGGCGAGGGGAGAACCTTCATTGTACGAAATTTGGGCTGAAATATTAGTCACAGTCAGCAAAAAAGCGACATTTTCACGAGCTCAGTTAAAGTCGCCGTTGCTAATCGAAGCTAGCAACAGGATTTGGTTGCTCGAAAGAATGTTCACGTTTGCCCGTGCCACGCCCACGCCACTTCATACCGAAAAACTCGGAAAATGGCGGAATGTCAAAAATGTATTTAAGATAGTGAGTACAAGATACTCGGAATTGTAATTGAAATAGACTATTAAATACTCTCCATCAAAGGTATTTGCGAGATACCAAGATACTCCAAAAAGTATTTAAGATACAGTATCTTGAGTACAGTATTTGAGATAGGCACGAGGACTCCCATTACATCGTAGCGTCGGCTGCGTCTGGACTTTAGTTGAAACAAAAGTAGATAAGAAGATCTTAGCGCTGAATTTTTTACGTCACCCAAGGAGGCGGATACGGGGCGCGGATTGGGCAAGAGTGTTCCGTCAGCGTTCGACTAAAGGCCCATTCACACACTTGTGTTTGACTCCGACCGACTGAGACAGACCGGGTTTTAAGCACCCTAGGAGGGCTTACGACCTGATGGGCAGCAATGTAGCCGGTCGTAAGCCGTCACAAAAAGGCTTAAAACCCGGTCTTGTCTCCGTCAGACGGAGTCAAACGCAAGTGTGTGAACGGGTCTTTAATCGAGCGCTGTCGGAACACTCGTGCGCAGTCCGTGACCTGTGCTATAGGGTGACGTTGAAAATTCAGCATGGCGGCTTTCACGTCTATGAGACATTGACGGTAATTCAGTCAACTAGAGAGCGCGGATAATATCATTATTTTAGGCGGAGAAGAGAATGTTTGGGGCGGAAGGAGCCGTGCGAGTGGTTTAGAAGACATTGTCTATATAGTAACTGGTGTCAGAAAAAGTTTCACGAATATACAACCCTTATTTCTATCTAATCAGTTAAAATGAAACTGTCTCTACGGCCGCCCTTCTAATTTTCTGGTTGCGTTACAAGACATGATCAATTTCCTTTTTATGGCAAGATGGACGGGGTCTTCCGGCGGTTCAGTGCATGGTTATGGTATGTGTTCTTGTTGTTCATGGGGTTTTGAGGAAGGGAATCATTGACTTACCTTGGATGCGCGCGTGCTGTTCTATCTTTGCCGTCCGGACCCTTACACGCGCCGCACGAGAACAAGAATAAAACTCGCAGCCCGTTTCGATCGTCCCTAGCAAGATTTCTGCGTACCTATGAAGTCTTTGACGTTGGTACGATCACGCTTACCATCAGACTTGTATACCATTCATGCTGCATCACTTCATGCGGTCCACGTGACGTGTAACGTGACACGTCACAGAGCACACCAGTTTTTGTGATCACGTGACGTGACGTATAGTCAAATGAAAACGATGACATCACTTCCATGTCACTTTTTTCACGTCGCATTTTTGTGTCGCTTCTTTGTGCCGCACTTTTTCTACATAGCCTTCCTCATAACGTATTCTACGTAAATAATAATGCCAACAACCGCTTCCTGCGCCAGCACGTCGCTGTCTCTGAGCATTGGCATTATCGCCATAGTTTGTTCGCTGCTGTTCCGGTAGGAAAACAGAATGCACGACATTGCCCGCATGAGTTTACTCAATGAAGGCTTCCATCACAGAATTTGTAAAGATGTTTTATTACTAAATGTCAACGAGGACCTTCTTTCACGAGAGGTAATGGTGTTTTGCATTGCACGTCGGTCAGCTCACGCTCGCTTGACATATATCATTGTCGACAACCGTAGTCCCCGAACCCTGGTACGCACCTTTACGTTCCGCATGACTTTCCCGACGGACACGCAGCCTAGGAAGAAGACGATCCTGAAGCTTCCGTTGCCGTCGTTGCTGCCGCGTCCCCAGCTGAAGCGGATGGCCTGGCGCTGGGCGAAGCGCGCCGGCCACGAGCTGACCGCCACCAGGAGCCTGGGCCGCCTGGACTGGGCCAGCGAGTCCCGCAGCAAGTCCGGGAAGAGCAAAGCCTCGGCCACATCCTGGGTGGGAGGACCGCGCAGCACGAGGTCCGGGTCAACCGGGGGCTCGCACTGGCGGCACAGCACCACGTCGGCCGGAGGACTCCGGTCTGTCGGAGGGAGGTCTCAAGGTTCCTGACCTGCTAGATAGCAAAGCCTAAGTGCTGAAGTTTCCTGCCTCACCAACAAGAGCTAGGCTACCGCACAGATTGGTCACGAGTGTTGCGTTTGGCTGGAAGTCAATACGACTTCCAGCCAAACGCAACACCGACTAAACAAAAGTTAGAGCCGAATGCTGACGTAACTCTCGTACTCGCCCTGCGATGGCCCTTTTTAGTGACACAGAAAAATTCAGTCATAAAGGCGATACTTGGAAGTCGCAACTGTCGCGGGATAGCTTTTTGTCGCTAAAACGACAGTCGCAGGGGCAAAAGCGACCGGTTCAGGGTAGTCGCTTCCAGACCGATTTTACGGATTGGTTCCCGAGCCGCCCGGCGACTGAACCAATCAGCGGCGCCTCGGAGTTAACTTATATGGTGCGCCTCCATGTTTGTTTACCTCCGGCACTTCCGTTCTGAAGGAGATGCAACCAACACGTCCATCCAACGCCACGGCTCGCGGTAGCGGACATGGCTACAGAGCCAAGGAGGTCTCTGCGGCGGCTATGACCAACACTATTACGTAAATAGCCCCATTCTTTATAACACGCCGCACCCATACTTGACCAAGCGCCCGAAAAAAAAAAAAAAAAACTCGGCCCGGCAGCAAATCCGTGGCCTTTTGGCTTGACATACCGTACGGTATACCGCGGAAGCTCGAGTGAGTGTATACGGTAGCGATTGTGCTTTCATCGTACGGTCCGGAAGTACCCGTGCCAATATCAAGAGTCTTTCTGTTATGGCGAAGACGACTCGCGTGTAACTGTGCAAGAATAAAAGTGAAAAAGAGCGGAACGCTAACATGAGCTGTGGCGGGAGGGATGGTATTCGCGGCGGTCCCGAGAGCTTCCGAAAAGCGACCCGCCGATCGACCGCAGAGTGAAAGTCGGTAACCTCTCGTCGAATGTCGCTATCGGTCGTGCGACCGCTGCGAGTGATAACTATGATCGCGCCTTGAGGCTTTCTTTCTTATCTAAGAGGTGTTTGATTGAAAGGCGGGTACTCACGATAGTGGGGATAAAGAAGAACAACATGAACGGCGAAAAGGACGTGAACAGGACAAAACAACATGTCTATCTCAATGGTGCAGCAGTTGCTGACCCTGTCTGGTGTGCTGGCTTCAATGAACGAAACCGAAACTAACTTCTATTTTAGATTTAACGTCTTCATGTTGACGTTAATTCCGGTTTCACTCCTAACTCAAGATGTGTTTCACGTCATGATATTAAACAAATAAATCGTTCGCGGAAAGTTTATTTTTTGACATGCTCGTCAGAGAGAGAGAGAGAAAAAAAACTTTATTTGTCAGTAAGATGGTGACCTTCTTCGGATCCTTCAGCTGCTCCACATGGTCGGCAGTTGAAGTCTGTCGGCGACCTCTTGCGCTCTTGCCAAGGCCCGGGACTGGACGTCCAGGTCCGGGCTGGCCAGCACAGCTTCCCATTGCTCAAGTGAGGGAGATGAAACTAGATCTGCCAGAGGCGGATCCTTCGCGCAGTCCCAGATTATGTGGTCTAAGGTGGCAGGCTCGCCGCATAGTTGACAGTACGGCTTTACTAGATCGGGAAAGATATTGGCGTATGTCCACGGGTTTGGCTGCGACCGCGTTTGCAGCCGCCGCCACGTGGTAGCCTGTTCTCGGCTGAGCGAAACGTGCGGAGGAGGCAGGCTCATTCTAAGCTCCCTGTAATAGTTGGTTATGGCCTGATACGTATCCAGCGCCTCACCTCGTGGGGCTTCTATAATCTTGTCCCCCTACAAGATTATAGAAGATTAACCCGTAACTCAAAATTCGTACAAAAGCAGCCGCTTCGGTGGCTGGAACAACTAGGCCATCATGTCGACGTCAGCCTCTCCGTAGCTTTCCTCGTCCCGAGACGACCTACGTCACGATTGCGTTGGATGTCACGTGGTCTCCGCTGGGCCATCTC